GTTGTTTGTGTGTAAGAAAGCCTCTGACTTTTGTGTGTTGATTTTATAACCTGCTACCTTGCTAAACTGGTTCCATCCCCTTACTTTTAAAAAAATATTATTGAGTGAGGTAACACTGGTTTAATACACTCTATGATTTGGGTATATAGGTTCATATCCATATATGTCACTACACCACAACCACCACCAGTGCACCCATAATCTCCCACCACACCCATTGAGCCCCCTCTCCTCCATTCTTTTGCTTTCAGAGTTTGTTTAGCATGTAGTTGGATTTTAAAAATCCAAGAATATTTTTTAAATTAAGAAGTCAAGCCCATTTTCACTTATTGTGATTAATAATTCATTTGAGCTATGTGCTTCCTACTAGCTTTCTTTTTGGATGCTCCTCATTTTTCATTTCTTGCCTTCCATTGGACTAATTGTTTCTCTTAGTGTAATTTTTCCATTAATCCTGTAGACATTGTATAGTCTAATTCATTATTTTGGTGGTCACTGGAAATTTTATCATTCATATCTAACTTAACTCTACAGCTAATCAACATTATAATAACAGGTAAGAGCCCCAGTTACAATTAACTTGGACTGATATAAGCTTATGTTCTTAGTCAAGAACATTTGAAATCTATGGTCCTCCTTTTTTTTTTTTTTCCATTCTGATACTGCAATATCACCCTCAGACCTAAGGTGTTTTCATATTTCAAAGTATGAATTTCAGTGAGGGCATATGAGGCAAATTGCTATTTATTTTTCTTATAAGAAGGGCACAGAGAGACCTATTTTCAAAAGGTCCAAAAAGACTCAGAATTTCCCCAGATCACTTATTTCGTTTATCAGTGTTCCCAGTTTCACAAAGAAGTCTGGTAAAGTGGTGAATTCAACTGATATTACGATTAGTAATAGAAAAGGCCAATTTCTAAACTCATTCTTCAAGTTGTCTTGGTCTGACAGCTTTAAGTGGAAGAGGATTCTTGCAGTAGAATTCCATTATTGCTCTATTTTCTCTTTTACATTGAATCAGATACTCAATAATTTAACCTACTTGTTGTTTTCACTGAAGTTGTTCAGTGTGTCCTTAGAAACAAACATCTGATCTCAGCCCTACCCAATTCAACTTCTCCACAAAATCATTCTATGGGAACAACCACATGACCACCTGAATCTATTGTCAAAGGAAAGCACTCTTAGTTTGTTGTAGGCTATTATCTGTCAATTTCCGATTGTGGAAGGAATTCTCATTTGTGCTATGACCACCTCAACCCAGATTTTCCATTTTCTAGAGATTCTATTGTTTGCACCTCCTTTTTTTTTTTTTTCTTCACTCTTAGTCTGTAGCCGTTTGCATATGTACACAAGGGGAATTTAAGGAAGGATATTTTGACATATCTTAAAAGTACTGGAAAAATTTTAATAAACTTACCTGATAAAGGGTAGGAACAAATGAACTCCAGGCTAAACTTCATCTTTGTGTTCTACCACTTGAACTGATGTAACTTTCAATTCTTGGATTTATCAGTTCACATTCTTTTAAAAAATGAGCACTATTCACTTCCTGATCTAACTGGTTATATGAACCAATAAATGAAAGTGAGGAAGGAAGGACTGCTCAGAGCAAACATTGTTGTAAGAACTGTCCTACTTCACTAGTGCCTTGGACACACAAGGAACAAGGTAAAACTCACAGCACAGAATGCCCCCGGATGCATCAATGAGAAAGAAATCAATCACTACTGGTAGAGTTTGGCAACAACACCTTGATCTGTGCTAACTCAGCTGTGGTTTTATCCACCATTGCTTTTGCACCATTAGTTCAAATGTCACCCAAGTGAAAATAACAAATGATGTGTTTTTATTGTTTTGAAACTACCTTTTCTTTTATGGTTTCAGAGACCTGAGTCGTCCATGAGATGTATTAATGTGCAGTATAATTCCGAATCCATCTAAAAATACATAGAGATTCCATAATAAGCATGTGAAGAGTTTTTCTATTTTTTCACTTGCAGGAGTCTATTTTTGTCTGATGCCACAGACTCTTACATATGGCAAGTGTTTTTTCATGCCAATAATATAGAAGCTCATCACAGGTTTTTGTAGTTATATAGTATTTTCCTGTGTCAACATATCACTTATTGTTGAGTCAATTCCATGGCATTAGACATTTAAGTTATTTCTAATTTTTCTCTCTGAGAAAAAGTTCTCAAGTAGATCCTCCTATAATTGCTCTGTGTACAATTATTTGTAGGGAAAAAATTCTACCAATGGAATGCTTGACCACAAGGAAGATCTATCTTAAGACTTCCTATGCATATTCCCATCTTGCCTTCCAGAGAAGTTGTGCCAATCTAGAATACCAATCTATAGCTTTTGTTTATGCCCTGTCCCCCGCCCCCTTCAGGAGGCCCTATGTCAACTTCTACACTGCCTATCATGCACTTGCAAAGAATGAGGATTTTGTGAGGGGTATTGAGAAAACAGACTGTTTAAGAAAATCTATATTTTCTTTCATTGCTTCAGTGGGCCAGGGAGGAGACGAAGGTTACATCAGCTCTTAAGTGAACTCAGAGATGGGGTTTCCATAAAGGCTTCACCACTGTGCCTCTTCTAAAAGAAAGCAAACCTAATGCTCACAGTAAGGTGAAAAAAATACTTGGCACCAAGAGTCATCTTTCTAGCACACTGTTTCCCCCTCATTATTATTAAGTGTTAACTCACTTTGGCATTGCTTATTTAGCACCAAACTCGCCCATGAAAGAGGGTTATCTCTATCAGGCCCTGCACCAGATCATACGATTCTCCATCTTAGTTGACCTACAGCCAAATCAGGCTTGTACTTTTTTTTTGTCTTTTTAGTTACTAGTCACCATCATCCCCTAAAAATTCCTACAGTCACCATCCTATTTCATTCATCATCTCATGTTTGGTTTATCATACTTCCTAATGTTCTTGCTTCTAATCTCCACTCAAATTCCCATTCCAACTCCAATCCTTTTTGCAAATTGCCACCAGATAATTTTTCCTTTTGCTAAAAGTGTCCAGTAACTCCAGAGTACAACAGGATATTTCAGGGTCTTCCCCAAACTTTCCTCATGCTTTCTATTTTACCTCTCATTACTCCTTTGCCATGTTTTGCCACTAATAGGTAAAACAGGATTCCTTTCTACCACATGAAAATAATATCCACTCCTGTGCCTTTGTTCAAACCATTTCCCCCTCCTGGAATGCCCTTCTACATTTTTCTCAAGCTGGTCTTCAGGGGCCAGCTTCAAAGTGACCGTCTTCCTTGATGCTTTCTAGTACCTTCTGCTTTTTTAAAAAAGACAGTATATAATTGAAAATGAGTATGTGCCCAGATACTGTCAGTAATTCTTTTGCATTTATGTATCTTACCTCTCCAGCTATTTGAAATTCAAGCACAAGGACAATTTTTTGTCAGTCAAAACATACAACTTTATTGATGACACACAAATGAAGTCTTTGGTGAATAAATTCAAGTCAAAACAAATGATAGAAGTATAGGCTATTCATGAAGGACAGGTTCGCTGTTAATTCAGAGGAACCAGTAAAAATATTTCCATCTAAGCAGCACGATTAAAGTCACAAATGTGTTTTCAGTACAAGAGGACTATTTATTTGGTATTCATAAAATGATTCAGCTTAAAGCTGGAGACTGTCACAGATAACATCACTCTGGATGATACACTATTCAAAACTGGCAGCTGAAAGGATCCCTTTACTATATGGAAAAAAAGTAATTTTCAATTTTCATTGCTTCCAGATTGCAAAAACAAGAAATTTCTTCAAATTCTTTGCGTGCACATAGCCAATCAGAATTTGTCCACTAGTTTTATAACTTTCACTTTCACCAAGAGGTCATGGTGATCTGCTAAGGCCCGGATTTTCTTAACACACACTCCAGATGTTGTACATAAGTAAAAAAGGGAACCTTTATTGAATTCTCTGTAGTTAAATACTTCTGCCCGGAGATTATCATAGATGATCTCAAACAGAGTAAGGGCATTAATAAGAATTTCTGATTCCACATAAGAATTATAGAGGGAGCTAAATGATGATGGTACTTGGGTACTAAGCAGTTTTTTTAACATATCTGGATTTTCAGCAAAATTTGAAAGTATTTTCAAAATCTCAACCTTAATTTTCCCACCTCCCTGAGATAACAGACGGAAAAAGTTTGCAATGGAGTTGACAAGCAGGTGCTGGTAATCATTAGTAATAGTCATGTTGGTTAAAAATTTTAGTCCAACTACCTGTACTGCTGAGTTCAGGTTAGAGGCCATGATATCATCCATCACTTTATTCATGTATACCTGAAGCCGTCCCTGATTTTCGTAATTCTCACTTAGGTTATTCATGGCCATTAAGGCTTTTTCCTTAATGTGGGGATCGGTTTTATTGATCATGTTTGCAATAATTGGGAGGCCTCCCAATTTCCGAATAGTGTCTTGGTTGCATGTGTAATTGGCATTGTTGCTCAGGGTGAGCAGAGCTACCTGTTGGATAAAAGGATCATCTGATTTCTGCAGCAGAGTAAGGACTTTCCTGAGATCTCGGACACCCAGAATCTCGTCAATTTCATAAGGAAAGGGGCGCTTCTGCATGGGAACAGGCTTCTTCCCTCTCCCTCTTTGCTGGGTCTCAGGCTCAGAGTCCGATTCTGACTCTGTGTCAGTCCACCCAGACTCCCCTTCCTCAGAATCAGGGACCTCTGCCAGGAAAGCCTGGCCCCCGTTAGCGGAGGCTGCAGCAGCTGCTGCAGCCCCATCCCCAGGACGGAAGCCCAGTCCCAATTCGTCCACTTCAACCTTGTTTTTCTTGCCCTTACCCTTGCCTCCAGGTCGGGATCTGTTTCCCTTGGCCCCACCTTTGGGCACAGCTCCAGCCCCGGGGCCCGCCTTGGGTATAGCCCCCGTGTGAGCCCCGGGGGTAGTTTTCTTGGCGGCAGCCGCGGCTCTAGGAGACCCTGAAGTCCCCGGAGCCGCCGCCGCCGCCCCCGAAGGTGCCGTAGCCCCAGCAGGCTCCACCCCTCCGCCTGGCACAGATGCCCCGGCTGCCGTAACTCCCCCAGGCGTGGTGGGCGCAGGTGCCTCTACCGCTTCCGGAGGTACTGCCGCTTCGGTAGGGACTGGCATTGCAGGAGGCAAGGCTGGCGCCCCCGGAGCCTCCACTGTGGCAGGGGATTCTGCGAATTTGGGAACCCCTGCAGTTGTGGGGGCTTCTGAAGCCACGGGAGCCTCTGCCTCCCCAGGAGGTGCCACTGCTGAAGTCGCCGTTGTGCCCACGACTGATTCAGCCTTAAGCCCAACCCCGACTCCCTCGCCCTCGTGGACCTGACTTTCTGCCCCACTTTGAGCCTCAGGGCTGGCTGCAGCTGGGGCCAATATCTCAGCTCCAGTCGCATTTCGAGGGGAGGCTTCGTCCTGAGCTCTGCTATCTGCCTCAACCCGGACTGGCGGGGGAGGACCCACGCCTGGCCCAAGGTCGATTGTGAAACCAGCTCTGAGTCCGGCTTTAGCCCTGGCTCCATTCCCGGCCACAGCCCTAGTCTTGGGCTTGGCCAGTCTCTTCTTGGTCTGGTTTCTTCCCCTGGCGTATTTGTAGACACAGTACCAGGCGCTAGCCCCGATCACTATCCCCGCAGCAACACAGCCAGCGTCGCGAACTCGGCTCATGGCACGGCTGACGTGACTCTCCGATCCAGGGCCCTGGAGCTGGTTAGCTAAGTGGGATGAGCGCTTGTCCAGGCGAGGCTCTTCAGCTCAGGTGTGCAAGTTGTGCAGACTGTAAGCCACGCAAGGGCCTGGGGGAAAGGGCAGACATGAGGTTTAGAGCACGGACTCACTTCGTGCCTAACCAGGCCTGCTTAGAGGAGAGTCTGGTGGTGGGGAGGGGAGTCACTGTTTACTGAGTCACCAGTACCAAGGCCTGGGTTGGCTGATTAGGGAATCTGGCCCAAGCCCACCCAGCACCAATGGAAGCCGAAAGGCAGTAGGGCCATCAGGAAAGCTGATCATTAGTGGGAAAGGCAGCAGGCATGATCCCAGATTCTGTTCTAATCAGTGTCACCCCAGGCATCCCCACATGGAGCTCATGCACATACCAGCCAGCTGGGAGCAGGAACAGTTTGCTCTTTCCCACCACACCTGTAGTTGTGGGGCCCCAAAGCAGACAGACCTGCAATAGATTCCAGAAAGGGTGAGTTGGATTCCATTTCCTTTCCTGATTTGAATCCCAGTGGGCCAAGTTTTCCCCTCCAGGGCTCTTCTTTCCTTCCTGATCCTTTTCTCCTCAAACCATTAATTAAAAAAACAGATGCCACACCCCTTTCCCTGAACCAAAGGGACTGGCCCTGGGTAAGTGTGTTTTAAAGGGAGAAGATGCAGGAAGAGGAGCCTCTTGTCCCAGGCTCTGCTGGGGGGGGGGTTCTGACACACCCACACTAGGAGCTCCCAGTTTCCACCCCTCACACTGACCTCCAAGGATTTAGGATCGTTTCTCCTTCCTTTAGTTCAGTGAGAGCTTCATCTTAAGAGCAGACTGAAGGGCAGAAAAATAGACTGCAGACTCTGGGAGACTGAGAGCCTGGTGGATGGAACTGCATCCAGGACAAAAGTCCCAATAATTCATTGCATTTTAGCATTCACATACCAGAATGACAACCTCCCGATTGCCTTAATTCTTCTTACACAATCCTCACCCACCCTCACCCACCCTCAATCCCCCCTCCTGCGCAGACTCCCCAGGCACTCAACCCCTTCTCCCCTTTGCCCCGCCCCCCCCCGGCCGCCATTTCTGTGGGACACACAGCCACACCCCTTCTCCTGCACCGAAGCGGGAGGGGGCGGGGCGAGGGTGCAGCAAAAGCTGGATGGGACGTGGGACGGGGGATTACTGCCAAGCAATCTGTGATCGCTTGTCCTTCAGTCTTTCGCCTCCTAGGCCTAGCAGTAACCTGCAGAACAAGGCCCTTGAGTGCTGCCTTTCGGTTTTTCAGGATCGTGATTTTCCGCTGTTTCTCCACATCGCACACCCCCCACCAAGTCCCCTTATAACCTCCATTTTTCCCGCCAGCATACCCGAACTCCTTTTCCAGGGCTGGAAAAAACGGGATGAAGGGCTATGTGAATCGGAAGTATCTGGAAGCCGCCTGGGAGTTAACACGGCGGTTTAATACCAGACTCTCTCGGGTCCCCCCTCCTGTGAAGCCCAAACAGCGCCAAACCCTCCATCCCCCTACAGAGGCTGGCACACCCATTTCCCAGCACCCCCAAAGGACAGGGGGCCGTCTGGGGCTGGGGAGCGTGCGGGGGCGGGGAGGAGGAAGGCATCTGCAAAGTGAGGGTGGGAATGAACAGACAGGATTATTTCCAAATTCCGTGCCCCCTCCAGTCACCCTTTCCCAACCTCCCCACTGGCCTTATAAGCGCTGCCACGTTTATTTCTCGTCCCTCCTCCTCTCCAAGCAGGACGGGATGTGGGGTGCGGGGCCTGAGTGTCAAAACCAAAACCAAAAAAAAAAAAAAAAAAACTGGCTGAGGGAGGAAGTAAGCGGATTCTTCGCAAGTATAGCAGTCTTTACAACCCCCCTCCCCCTCCCCCGGCCGCCCACCGAAATGAGCTAGGGGGTTCTGGAAAGCCCGCCTGGAGCGGACGAGGCGGAAGCGTCCCTGGCCTCAAACTCCGCATCTCTGGGCTACCCCTATGCAGGGGTGCCGGGTCACGTCCACCCTCACACCCACCTGCCCGGATCTGGGGGGATTTTCTCCTGCTCCTCCTGTCCTGGGTTAAACGCACGGCAATGCGCAGCGCAATTGAGTTGGTACCCAGAGGAGAACGGAGGACAGCGATCAGAGCTTTAAGTACCTTTGCCCACGTCAGCTCCTGGTCACGTGAGGACCTCGTCGCCAGTAAGCTTGGGTCCCCAATTTCCACTCCCACTAAGAGCAAGCGCCCCCTCCTTCACCCCCACTCCCACTTCACCCCAGAACAGCAGGTCCCGTCACTCATTTCTTTTTTTTTTGGTCTTTGTAGCTCTGGAGGCCAGAAGTAGCCCCTTCTCTGTGTGTCAGGATTTGCCTTTCTCTGGTTACAGGGGAGGGAATAATGCATCTTGGAGAGCTATTGAGAAATTCTCTCTCTTTTGTTATTGTTGGGGGATTGTCTCATCTTTTCCTGTGTTACTGGACACTCTCACCAAACTCACTCCCCCTTCCAATCCTCAGCCACCACTTCCTTGCTTTGGTTCCCTACTCCAGTATGGGTAAGGGGCTGTGTCCCAGTGGAGACATGGAGTAAGAGTGGGGTCTGGGGTACTCCACTTGGTTTTTAAAGCTATCACCACTCTTTTTTGTCATAGTAAGAAAGTACAACAAAACCGGGGGTTAGTGTGCAGACGTCAACAACAAATAAAGAGTGGGCATCTTTTATAAAAACAAGATCCCCCAATTATACTGGAAAGCACCAGTAAGTTTTTACCACATAGGCGATGCATACTATTGGCCACATTAGGAAGTTTGCAAATCCTGTTACAGTAATTGAATAACTAAAATGGGACTTTTTCTCAGCAAAATAAGCATGTTACCATATGATCTGTAAATTGATCCATGGAGAGATGTCCAGTTTTCCGATCTTATTTATTCTGGACAAATAATATCCCACTTTTTCTCCTCCTGGGATAGCTTTTATGTTGGATAAATAAATGATCTTGTCTTCTGTTAGAGAAACACATTTATTTAATGTTCCCAAACCATTGCTGACTGCTGTGTGAGCCTCCTGTAAGTTGATGGCTGTCACTATGACAGTTTTGAGCACCTGTCCCTATATTAGGTTCCAGTTTCCTGATTCAGCTTTAGGTAAAAGAAAGAACTGTCAGGCCAAGCATATGAAGGCTGTGGGGATGCAGAGATGGTCAGATCCCCCTTGTCCTGTGGACAGAGGAAGAGGGTGCTGCCTTTCTACCCTCTACCACGCTCCAGAGCCTCTGGCACTTGACTTGCTCACTCCAAAAATATACACGAACTGAGGGCCGGGTGGTAAACGCCACCATCACTCAGGTGACCAGCTTGAAGAAATTACTTTGGTTTCCTCTCTTCCCTCCCCACATTCCCACAGGGGTAACTCAGGGATGCACAGAAGAGATTGCTATTCACACCCACCCTTAGGGCTGTGGGTTTCCATGGAATCTGTAAGGGGAATTGCTGAAGCAAGGACCCTCATTCACGGTGACCCAGTGTCCACTGATCCTACCACTGACTGCTGCTACCACCTGGTCTGAGAGGTGCCACCAGCTGGGACCACCCATTTCTGGCCTCCTCACAGCAGGTTACCCAAGGGCAAACAGAGCCTTGCTTCAAGCTTATTGCCTGCAGCCCACACCCACCTTCTTACCCCTCAGTCAAAATTCTTCCTCCTCCAAGGAACTTTCTGCACCAACCTGACTCATTAACCTAGAGTGGGCGTTATTAAATGGCCACCTCTTTGCTCTTACAGGCTGAAATTATGCACACAATTTTGTTCATGAGGACAGGTGTGGTTAAGTTCCTTTTGGAGGGGAATAGAGGTCATTGATCTCGTTAGTTTCTCTAGGGGTCTGTGGCCTCCTCCCTCAGGCAGAAAGAACCAGTGACCTAGAGTGTCTGTGCTATATATAGTAGTCCAGATGAGTAATTTACACCAGTGGTCAATATATATTCAAAATTGTGAGGCAATATATTAAGTATATACAAGGATGTAGTCTTATGATAGTTTTTCCACTCTCAGACACTGTTAACAATTTCCAATTGCACACATTAGTCAGTGTATTCGTGCTTATTAATCAAGTTCCAAATTGAGCAACAATAAGCAAATAACAAGCATTTGGAATTTGTACTGCATTGCAGTAAAATCTGCAGATTAATTTGGGGAATATTAATATCTTAAAATTGAGATTTCCCTTCCAGGACCATGGTCTATCTCCATTTGGCTCATATCTATTATCTTTGTTAATCAAATTTCATAAGCTTCTTCAGCTAAGTAATTCTTATTAGTCATTAGGCTTTTTGTAGGTATTTTGTAGCTGTGTTGCTGAAAGGTTGTTCTTTCCAATTGAAATTTCTGATAGGTAATTTTCTGCTTAAGGACAATATTCTGCTATTACATATTAATTCTGTACTTGCCAATTTTTGCAATCACTCTAATTTCAATAGTTTTCAGGTGACACCTTTGTGTTTTTCCAGGAAAGTATACATGACCATCTACAAGATTTTTTTTCCCTTTCTAACATTTCTTTCTTTTTGTCTTTCCTTTTCTGCACGTGGTGCATTAAACAGGAGAATGTCCAGAAGCACATTGAGTATAGTGATGCTTGACAGCCTCATGCTCTGGCGTGTCACTTAGTATAACTTATGCTTTTCTGATATAATATATCCTTTTTTGCTCTGGCACTTTCATTTATGTTTACCAACATGACCCAAAACAGTAGTAGAGAGAAACAATGTCAGTCATCATCAGTTTTGTGGTATTGGGAGCCCACATGAAGGGAGAACTCTGGAGTCAGAAGAGTAGGTGATATATATTCTTCATTAGGTTAAAGATTTTTTATATCTAATTTAATTTATCCAAGAATGAGTCATTAAATTACATAAATATAATTCTTAACTGTTAAAGTTTCTATTTCTATCCCACTAATAGCTTTTTTTTCCCCCCTTAAACTGAAGAATGCTTAAGGCTAAATTTGTCTCATGCTTTGGTTGTAATTATTCTTTTACCCTTTAGCTTGTTGATGTGATGAATGCTGTAGATAGTGGAGGCCCTCGTCATTCTAGTTTTCCTGTAGTCATCCTCCACATATCCCCATGTTCACACTGCCCATCAACTTCTCAATATGTTAAGAACAGATTTCTAAGTCCTAAAAGTAACTGACAGGCCCTATTCTCTTCAACCTTAATATTTCTTTCTCTTCTTCTCTCCCCCCCCCTTTTTTTGGAAAGATTTATTCATTTAACTCTGCATAGAAGAACTGGGGTATAGGCCAGAGGTGTGGGGCGTTGATGAGAGGATTCACCAGGGACAGAGTAAGGAGCAGAACAGGTGGATCTACTGAAATACACTGCTGAGGGGAGCAGTGGGAGAGACAGGAGAGGTCAGCTGGGTCATATGCGAGCCAGCACCCTGGCCAGGAAGGGAACTCAAATGCATATTGGAGTCTTCTGATAATGCTGAGACTTACCCCCTAGGCCACCAGGGAGGCTCCTCTGCCTCATCTTCTACTGCTCTCTCTCTACCTCAGCAACCCTGGCCTCCTTGATGTTTCTGGAACATACATGTTCTCTTTACTGAATCTTGGCTCCTGCCTGGTTTATTATTCCTCCATATTATTCATCATATTTAGACCCATCCAGAATTCAGGTCTTTACTCAAAGGTCACATTTCTACTGGTGCTTTCCCTGGCCAACCTATCTAAACGTTCAGTTCATTTCAACTTTTTGTACCTTCTTTGCCTGCCTTCATTTTCTTTTTAGTATGCGTCACTAACAATATACTGTATGTTTTGTTTATTGATTGTGTTCATTGTCTCTCTCACTGCAATGTAAGGGTCATGAGATCAGAGGTATAGGTCTGTTTAATTTGCTATAGTATGGAGAACAATGCATGATACCTAGCAGGTGTTCAGTAAATGTACTGAATAAATGAATGAATGATTTTCCAACATAGAACCACTCTCCTGCTTTCCAGAAATAAAGCTTAAGTTGGCTGTGCCATATTAGCAGGGTTATAAACTCTCAGATAAGTGATTAGAGTGTCATGAGACAAGACATAGAAGATATTAAGATTTCTTTGAGTGGCATATGTAAAACTCATGCAGCAAGAATGATTGCTTATGACACATAAGCATTTTAAAATAAAAAGTGAATCTATTTTTCTTAAATGAGAATAGTTTAATCATATTTTCCAACAAATTTGTGTTTTTTTCCCCAAAAGGGACAGAATAGCCCCAACAAGACAGTAACAAAATCCCTTTCTACTCTGTTTTCTTCATGACACCCCTTCCAGCACCTCATTCCCCCATTTGAAGACTGCAGAAAAGAGCCTCACTAATTCTGAAGATAAAAGGCCGAGGGAGCAAAAAAAAAAAAAAAAAGGCTGGGCTTCTTATCCCAGAGAAGTAAACTTTCCCAGCAGCCCAGGAGAACTTGCTGCCACTCCCAGTAATCAGAGAAAAAGAACATCTTTGTTGTGTGGGCAAAGACTAAAAGGAGCTACCACGTCCTGCCTGGTGGGGGTGGGGAGAAAAGGGGCTGGTCGCCTTCTGCTCTGCTAATAATAGGAGGGGAAATTTAGGACCCGAACTCACCAGTGACGTAGCCTCACGTGACCGGGAGCCTGTGAGCCGAAGTCTGGTTCAGATAGCGGTTCTCACCCGGCTTCAGGTAACCAGCTCTCTGTCTCCTCGGCGCTGACTGGGGGCTGGGAAGGAGGAGGAGGAAACTCGTTCTGGTTCCTGTAGGTCGGTGTGAGGTTGGCTGTTGGTTGGAAACTCCTGGAAAGAGGGTGAAGGGGAGCAGCATAATTTTCAAGTTTTGAGGAGCTTCTCTATTCCGCCCCCTCCCCCCCTCGCAGGGACTCCGGAACCCAACCTCTTTTAAATTTCGTGCCTTGTAAATAGCAGGGCAGCGCCTGCCACAGAAATGTTTGGCTTCAGTGACCCGAGAAAGCGCAGGGATGGGGAGTTAGGAGGCGAGAGACCCAGAAGGGTGAAAGATCGGGTTTGCATTCAGTCCTTATTGTCTCCAATTTGTTCCTGTCTGATTTGGGCTTTTGTCCGTGTCGGGGCCTGTC